CTTGAGATAGATTGATGTTATTAAGGAGAATTGGGACCCTTAGTATGCAATTGTACATCCCTGGTTATACTTCTTCGAGTTTTGATTAAGTATAATGCCTGAGCAATACCTAGGGTTAATGTACCATAGGATGTGTGAATTGATATGATATGTATATAAAGAAAGTATGTTATTTTCAATGTGTTTTGAAAATGCTTTTATTGAATCTTATAGCTATTTTATTTTACTTATACTTATTTACGAATAAATGTATGAATTTCGAGGACGAAATTTTTTTAAGGAGGGGAGATTATGATACCCCGAATTTTAGGACAATGTTTTTCCCTCGTTCTTTTAAAATTTCGATTTATTTCTTTTGTTTTGTTTTACAAACATTGTTTTTTTTAATTGGACACTTTAAATTTAAATCAAAACCCTAGTTTTACTTGTGACTACAAGGTTATTATGTAATTGAGTTTATGTATGACAATGCATATTTTATTATAGGTAATTATAATGATTGGGTGGTTAGTAGAGAGGTGCAATTAAGCTTGTGGATTTCATTAAGTTAGTGATCTATGGAGTTAATTGTAAAGATTAAAAGAAGTTGGGTCATAGTGTGAGGATTGGCAAAGTAAGATTATTAGTAACATCAAAGCTTCTAGGATCTTTCCAAGCTTAAATTTGATTGGTGGAGCAAAAGTCTAAGTTGACCATTGGCTTAAATATCTTCTATTGTTAGTAAATGCAAAACAAAGCCAAAAATTAAGAGGAAAAATAGAGAGAGGGCCGAGAGCTCTATGAGAGGTTTAAGAGGAAAAGTTTCAACTTTGGTTTCTTGATTTCTTGCTCAATCTTGCAAACTAACCGATAGTTTCATCAAATAATCCATAGAAATTGCTTAGGAAGGTAGATTGCTATCTTGGAGTGGAGTGTTTTGGTGGTTCAAGCTTCCTAGGGGTTGTTGTGCTTCTCTAATGCTAGGTAAGGTTGGTATTAGTTCATGTTTGTGTTCTTTATTGGTTTACAAGTGAAAGTTATGGCTTGTTTAGGTAGATTTCATGATTTTAGTAGTGGTTCTAGTAAATTCTAGCTTTCTAGTGTAATTTTCAGTTTTGGTTGTTGAAATGGATGGTTGTTCTTGGTGTTCATGTTGTGATAATGCTTATACTTAGTGTATGGAAGTAAATTCATGGTTAAAAATTGTTGGGTTTGTAGCATATAAAATTTCAGTCAGCAAGAAAGGTAATTTGTAAGAATTGATTTCCAGTTTTAATACTGAAATTGTCCTATTTCTGACCATGTCTTTTAGTCCATGTTAGAGGCCGAATCAACCTTGGTCAAAACATGAAAGTTGTAGGGAATAATGTTTTATAGCTACCTGTAAAATTTCAACTCAATCCGAGCACTGTAGCACGTGAAAAGACAAAATTACCCTTGCTGCCATAGGTATAGTTTTGTGGACAGTTTTGACATTTCCTCATTTTGGCTGCTTTTTTTCACCTTGATCCGTATTAAACTAGGCTTTGGCCAAAACACAAAACTTTTAACCCTATGTTTCAGCTTTCCAACTCGTCCGAAAACACCTCAAACGGGATTGTGTATCCTGAGTCATTGTCATTTGAATTCAATACTGACAACCGTATTGACAAGGACATTCTGGTTCTGTAATCTATACTTTTGACCCAGATAAATTGTGAACCAGATTGAGTGGTTTTCATGAAAGTTGTAGCCCTTTGTCTTACCTTCGCAGAGGTATAAAATTCAATGCAATCCGATAAGCGTAGCTTTGGTTGTGACCAATACGCTAAAAGATGTCAAATTTGTCATTTTGTTCTTTGCCTTAAACCTTATTTCCGGTCACTTTTCTAGCTTGATTTTGTAATTGAATGACTTTTAGCCTATTGAATGGCTATTGTAATGAGATTATTTGTGTGTGATTTTGGGGGCTGATTGAGGAAATAATGAAACCATAAATGGCTGGAAAATAGGTAAATACAAAGGGCTTGCTGCCCAAATTTGCGCTCGAGAGCTAGGTAGATATACTTGCGACTTAAATAGGGATTTGAGGTCAAGTTGGACTTGGATCGCCTATGGTATTTGAGTTTTCTTTAATCAAGGTATATAAGCTAAAATTTTGCCGGAAGCTCATACCGTTGGAAAATGAAAGTAATAATCAATAGAAATACGTTTTTCTCGTTCTTTCGACTCCAATGGGAGTTCTATAGTTTTAACCGCTTCCTTACCGAAACTAAACGAGCGAGTATAAATTTTTCGGGATTTGATAAGTATCTTGAATACTACTTAAACGAGTTGCATTTACTTGATTTTCTTGAAGCGAAACTCCTATGTTTCGAATTCTAGAGAGTTTTACATTCGTCAATGATATTTTATTATAGATTTGGACTCCAACCAAGGAGTTGGACCTGAACGTGATTTTTGAAAAAGCACTACATTTTGGTGAGTGCTTCCAAATACCTGGTTGAACTGGACACTTGTTGTCAATACTTGATCAATGTAAATACATGATATGTGATTTGTTTGATTGGGCAATAGTGTACTTTATCGCACTTGTCCTAATATGGTATATTCTTGTTTATTGTTGCAATTAACTTGATATACTTGTACTTGAGTTGTAAGTGTGGAGCAGCAGTATGTACCACACTCAATCCGAGTAGGAGGTGCCTTTCATTCCCGTCTCCATACTTTTCTTTTGATTCAGTCGATTGGAGATGTTATCTCATCGACATATTGGGGACCCAAACCCCACTGACTAGTTAATCGAGTCGAGCCGGCAAGGGCTTGGTCGAGTAGATAACGAAGCATGGGTAGTTAGTGATGTCGAGTGGATTGTTATCTCCTCGACTAATCGGTATACTCGAGTATTACTACCAGTGTTTAGTTGGTGTTCGGGCCCGGTAAGGGGGTTGAATGGTGGACGGGTTGGAGTTAAGCGAAGTACTACTGGACTGGTTACTTTCCTTGAAAGTTGACGGTGTGTCAACTAATACTTGATCATGCTCTGGTGAAGCAATGGAAATGTGGCTCCTGAGAGCCATCGGTATCCTTACATCTGGATTGTTATTCGTAGTGTTATTGTTTCTTTTAGAAAAGAATTTTTCACTCGTTCATTTTGAAATTTGCTACTTGAAGTGTATTGTTCACTTTTATGAATTTGTTATGCTCGCTTCTTTTATTACGTTGATACTTGTACTTTTAAATAATGGTCAACTTGCTATTTGGAATCTCACTGGGCTTTTAGCTCATTTCACTGCATTTGTTTTCCTTATAGGGGGTATGAGCGAGGCGTGAGACTTATACAGACTAGCATAGTCTAGTTTTTTGGATTTTACTATTGTACTCGCGCTAACACCCGACTAGGGTTGATTTTACTTGGGTTGTAAATACTTTAACGTTTTGGGTGTAAAACCTTGTAGCTGGATGTGAACATCAATGTATATGTTAAGTTTGAGATTGTTATTTCATTTCTTCTCTATGGATACGGTATCTTTCTCCAGTTATGCGTGAGTGAGTTCTGACGAGAGTTGGGCAGACGGTCCGCTAAACCCTGGGGTACGCCCTAGGAGGAGGTGGGGTCGTCGCAATATTCGGCTTCTGAGTATTCAGTCTAGAGATTGAATCTCTTCTAGAAGGTGATCAAGAGGTTTTTAGATTAATGCTTGACCAGATAATAGAACATGAGTCAATCAGCCAATCACAATAGCTACCATGATGTCCATAAACATATCAAGACTATAGTTTCTACCATTCATTTCATGATCATTTAAAACTTTGCATAACATAAGCACATTTGACACATCACATGCATATTTCTTTTCATTTGGTAAAACATGCCACTCATTTTATATTTCATAACATAGCAAAGTATTTCAAGTAAGCATATATGATCCATTTTATTTATAGCAAAGTAATACTTTCATTTGAGAAAAACTCATATTTAATCTTTGAAATACACAAAAGAGTAAGCACCACTTACTTTAGATTGCTTACGTGAAAAGATTTTAATGTGTCTCACACATGTTTCGTACCTATAACCACATGCATACCTTAATCAGTCTATATCCTATATTTTTTGAGTACATATTCCTATTCTAAATAACCCCAAAATTCATGGCTAGAAGTTCTACAAAGTGTGCTTAAAAAGTTTCCCAAAATGGAAAGCTTCCCTTTTTAGAAAGTTTTCTTATTTAGAAAGGTTCCTTTTATGAAAGGTTGCTTTAGCTTAATTAACCAAGAAATAATTTTCTCTTTTTGTATAAATGGTCCGACTTGAATTTGGGCCAGATTTAAGTTCATGCTGGGCCCTAAGACTAAGCTCATCTATTAATGTGTACTTTTTTTTATTTAAACTTGGATTTAGTTGGGCTTAGAGTAGTTGTTCCTGGGTTTATTTGATAATACTGGGCTAATGAAATAAAATTGATTTTACTAAAAGAAGCATTGAGCTTGACTGATTAAGAGAAGATCCATGACAATTAAAATTCAACTATTTTTGTGCCTCATTATTCTATGATAAACAAGATGCCCAAATATAAATGTTGCAAATTTAATTCTTTGAGCCTAATACACAAATTTTATTTCATCGGTTTAGAAAACTTAACAGACCAAGTAAGTATTTCGGTTTTTTGTTTATGACTAGTTTCAAATTGACCAATAGTGGCCTAATAGACATTTTTTTCAAGTGGTTCATTATTTGATCTTAGCCTTGAAAGAAGAACTAGTACATAAATATTTAGGCCAGGTCTTTTAATTTGGTAACCCATTTAGAAAAACCCCATAGCTAATTTGACCCATTTAACTTAAAACAATCTAACCTATTTGCCTAAAATAATCCGGCCCATTACAAAACGGGTTTCTTCTTTCCCAAATTAGAAAACCCTAACTTGTAACCCTAATTTTGCAAACCTTAGCCCTATTATCAACATCTTCATCATTGATATCATTTTATCGCCATTACCATCTCCAGTGTCCCCAGCCTATGAAGCAACAACGGTTCTTACCTTTGCAATTACATCCTGCTTGGTAGCTGCGACTTCTAGTAGCCATGGCTGCTCTAGCTTGGCCATCTAGTTCTTGTTATAGGAATCACCGGCCTTTTATTGACAATAGTGAGAGAGATGAAGGGTTATTAAACCCTTCTTCTTCGTAGACAATTCGACGCCTCCTCTTCTTTTTTTTCCCCTTTCTTTCCAAAATCACCCTACCATTAACATGTTTCTTCTACTATGGCCCTAAGCTTCGATTTCTTCGTAGTTTGGCATGAAAAAATTATAAACTTGAAAAATTTCTTAATTTCTTTTATAAATTCGTCATTAATGAATTTGCTAACTCTAAAAATATTAATCTAGCAATAATTCCTAAGCTAGACTTGAACTTTCTTATAATTTCAATGGTTAAAACATATACAAATATAATCTCTAACATTAAACAAAATCACAAGCTTGTAATTGACTAACCTAAGAAAAAGAGCATTTACTAATTTTTTTGATGACTTGTTTAGGTGTGTATAGGTGATTGCCCTAAGTGAGTCTCCAATTCATCACAAGTGTTTCTCTTCTCCTCTTTCTTACTTTAAGTTTCTGATTCAAGATGAAAAAAATGGAAATGGTAGGTTATTCATAGTGGTCAAGTGATATATTATTGATGCATACAAATTTTGAACCTTAATTGCTCCCAAGTTATAAATATAACTTAAACTTCTACTACTGTAAGTGCACAGGTCATACACGAGTATAGGGAATATTTGAGTGTTGATTTCACAGGGAAAATTTTCAATTTTCAATTCGACTCGAATTCCTTTATTATTTAGACAATCATCAATAAGGCAAGTAAATCTACTCGACAATCATGCAATAAAAGTAGTAAAAATAACAAAAAATGTGCCTAAGGTTATGGAATTCCTAACTACTCTTACAAGTGAAATTTACAGACTAAATAAAGTTGATTATCTTGGGTAAATCATGGCTCATTTTCTAATGTATGTAATACTCATTTTCACCGATATACAAACCATACCCTATAACTATCTCTCACTTATGTTTCATGATGAAGAAACTAGTTATAGATTCATTAAATTCTATAAAATTTCTTGGTTATAACCATAAAAAATGTTTTCCCTACTATCATGAAAACACTCCCTAGCTTTAACACTTTCATGAACTAGTGTCAGATCATAACTTTCATTAATGAGACAATACCTTTAGACAATCATAATTAGTGGCCAATTAACTCAAATAGCCATGAAAATCTCATATAACAATAATAGACAATTCATCCACCCCCTAGGTATATAAATTAACAAAACATAAAGTAAAGGAAAACAAGAACCAAACTTGTATTAGTACTAAACATGAGAATCAAATACAAGAAGCAAAAAGTTGAAGAAATTAAACGCTTTGTCAATTGTGAGCATCAACCTCTCCACCTTTAATGTTCAATCTTCATCTAAGTTTAGTTAGTACAAGATTGGATGAAAACTAGACTAATCCTACACTAAGCTAATGAACTAAGGAAATCTAGTGAAAAAATAAATTTTTTGTGGTAGTTCCTCTAGCCTCCAAAGTTAAGTAAAAATGTGTCTTGAATGGCCTATTTATAGAAAAATCAAACTCCAAACAATGAAGTTAAAGTTGATGCAAATTGCTCCTTGAAATCATCACAAGTTGTTTCTTGAAACCTTCAAGATTTCTTGAGCAGCTACAGTCAAAACATGATCAGAAAAATGGTCCAAAAAACTGTGTGAACAAGTTGCAAAGAGAAAACACAAGTGAGGTTGGCATTTTCGTCCACAGATTCACTTTCCCTGTAGGTTTGGGACTTTCTGATGAATCCTCAAAATTTTTTTGTTTTTGTGCCAATTTAATCTGTGAATTTCTCAATAATGGAAGCTATACTACTCTTGCACAAAACATGAAAATTGTAACATATTGAGTTAGCTTTCCAATACATCAAGAATCAAGGCCTTTGGAGTTCTGGTGACTAAAAAATAATCAAAATACCCTTAACAAGTCAGTAGCCTTTTCCAGATTTTTGGAACAGAAATGGATGATTGTATTTCAGCCTTTTGACCTTGAAAATGTGTGAATTGAACTTTGATATCTTCATAAGAAATGCAGCCATTGGTCTTAGATTTAAAATGCTTCAAAAATTTTCTTAATCTAATACTTGTAACACAACTTAGTCACTAAAACCTATAAAAACTTGAAGTTTTAACCATTTAAATCCATAAAAATGCAGCATTTCTTACTTTTACCACAAAATACAAAATTCAATAGAAATCTAGTTATTCAACTCTTAAAATAACTAAAATGACAAAAAACCAAGTAATAAAATGGATTAAAAATATGCAAAATAAACACTTATCTATTACTTTGTAGTAGTTGACTGCTTGTAACTAACCTACCTCACTCACTCACAAACACATGTTCTTTATCCATTCCTGCTAAATTTTAGTTAATTAAGAGACAGTAGGCAGAAACTCACTTATTCATTTTTAAGTCTGGCAATTTTCATATAACTACAATTTTACATGTTTTTATTTACTAATTTATTCTATTTTTACTATTTTTGAATTAAATAAATAGATAGATAAAAAATTTTATGGATATTACATCTTTAGCTTGATTGGATCCTCATTGGTCTTCTCTATTAGTACATCTCTTCCTAATCAAAATACAACAAAGGAATATCTGCTATCTTAGACCAATTTTTACCATTTGGACAAGTTCATCGTTCTTTAAGATGGAGGTAGTCTTTGATTGTCATTATCATCTAAAGTCGGAAATCCATCATAGCTTCCAACTCTTTACATGCTACGATTTCCAAGTAGCTAATGCAATTGAGGTGTCAAATGAATGGGGAGATAGAAGTTTCAGGCAATGTTGTAAACTTAAATTAATCAGACTTGAAGGGGTACATTCTCAATAATACTCCACTCCCCAGAGCTCAAGAACAAAAAAGTTTGCTTAGGTGGAAACCAAAAACCAAGTTTAGACTAGTTGAGGAAACCAATTTCAAAAGCAAATAGAAAACATCAAAGTATCCTGGAGCATTTTGAGAAAAGATTGGTGAATTATCTCGAAATAATGAAAATGCAAGATCGAAACTAATCTCCATGAACCACATTTCTTATACTTTAGAGAAGGAAGAATGGATGTGAATCAGGTTGAGAGAAGCAGAAAAATATATAAAATCGCCGTCAACTTTCTTGTATCGAACTTGGTAGATAATAAGAGTTAGTCAAATTAAGTAGATTGGTTTAGCAAAGTTGGTGACATCTACCGATTGATAAGAGTTCTACATGGATCCAATAACCCCTAGTCAGCCAGCCAAGAAGATCAATACTGAAATCATAACTAAAAACCCACCCACGTCAATCAACTAGACAAGTAAAGCTTAATGGAGGTGAGTTCCAATCTGCTCAAAAAAAGTCCCTGCAACACGTCAAGATTTCATAGAAGCACAACAAAATACATTTTACACCAAATTTTTAGTCATTCTCAGTAAAACAAGTGAGAAGTTGATCTTCAATAGCTGCTTATGCAATGGATATATACAAATTAGAGGGTAGGCATTGTCTAAAATTTAATGGGGGAAAAAGAGGAGTTATACCACCAGTTTTGTATTATTGTAATGTTAAGTTCTTGATCAAAATATACTTTGTGAGTTGGACAATTGGAAACTCCTCTAGGGTTTTATAGCTTGAATATAAGAAATGGTGTTGCATAGTAGTCAGGTCATTCATAATTCCGAGGTAGGTTCCAATAGTTTTCACATTATATTCACTTTTAAACTGTCTATCTACTCCAAGAATTTCCTTCTTCCCTACAATGTGCAAAAGGTGAGTCCTTGTAGATTTTTGTGAACTGTTAGTTTTGCAATGTAAAAGTCCATAAGTACCAAGGAGAGATGCCAATATAAAACCACAATGCTTTGATACCAAACAAGGTGATCAGCCTTTCAATGTGCACAATTGATGGTTACAACTAGCCAAATTAATATATTTGTTTCAAAACAAAGATACGAATGATTGAACTGATGTTCCAAGAGGAATATTCGATAAAAATCATCGTCAAGTGATTTTTGGCAATGATTTTTACATTAGACTAAAACAACACTTTTGATTTCCTTCTCTTCCCTTAAAATACAAGTGTTCTTCCCTAAAATGTATAAATTCATATTCAGTTGGTAACATGAACTGGGTAGACTATGAGAAAAGCTTATTCAAATTGATGAACTTAATAGTTCCTTAAACTGTCAATACTTTGATCAAATAAAAATTCTTTTAGCAAGTTTGCTTCAAGCTCATTTCTCTCACCCAGAAATTGAAAAACAACCCTTGGGTATGCAAGATAAGCATTAATAACTAGGGAAAAGACCAGGAAAAAGAAAATTGACTTTTGTTTAATCAAAATGCAGATAGTTTTGTACAGAGTTACCACCAGTAGCTATGTCAAAGACTTTTCTGTTGTTGCTTGCGATTATTAGTTATTATATGTTAAATAATTTGCTTTAGGAAAATATTTGAAAATTATTGCCAGTACTATAATGTCATCTAAAATAACCCAATGCACTAAAATCAAAGATCTCTGATTTAGCTAAAAAGTTCTAGCTTCTATGCTCTGATTACTGAACTTGTAAGTCAAGTATAGCTAATTATCCTGAAGACAAATCACTTATAGAATAAAATTGAAAAAAATAACTGGAAGAAAGATGGATAAAGGTATGTGTCTTTACATAAACAATAAGGACAAAACAGCAATGTTTACTTCATGCTACTCTAGCTAATCAAACCCCAATCATATTCGATAGGTAAATATTTTCCTAATCAAATGTACACCCTGGGAACATTTTCTAACTAAGCGGGGGGTAACTTTTGACAAACATTATTTCAAGTATATAAACAACTAAAAACTGAAAATTTCATAAATATAGTAGTTTGATAAAAAAAATTCTTCCAACAGTTTGATTCAGCCTCAATTCTATCATCCTTTTATTGTAACAGGTACTCAAGGTCAAAATAGATCATAAAAGAGGTGTCAAACAAACAAGTAGAATAAATTTTTGT